ACCGTGTAAAATTGAATATGACGTCAACACGCTTCTGTTTGGCATGGAAAGCCAATACACCAGCTGAAATCTATCAGTAATTAGAACGCAATCCTTGTCAGTGCAAATTAATATCAGCTGGTTCAGTCTCAACTGATGGCCAATAAAAAGGTGTCTCATTACCACGGTGTCACACAAAAAACATCTCATGAGGAGTAAAAGCAAAGAGCTCTCGCAAGACGTTTTCCAACCTTACTGTTGCAAAACATACTGATGGCATTGGTTACAGAAGGATTTTTTAAACTTCTGAATGTTCCAGTGAGCACTGTTGGGGCCATAATCCAGCAGAAAGAACATTATTTCACCATAAACTGGCCACAATCAGGTGCTTCTTGAAAGATTTCTGACAGAGGAGTGAAAATAATTATTAGAAGAGTTGTCCAAGAGCCAAGGACCATTTGTGGAGAGTTTCAGAATGCCCTGGAATTAGCGGGTACAATTATTTAAAAGAAAACAATAAGTAATGCACTCAACCACCATGGCCTGTATGCACGTTCACCATGCAAGACTCCATTGCTGAAGAAAAAGCATGTTGAAGCTAGTTTAAAGTTTGCTACACAATAAATATGCACAGCGATCTGATATAACGCAGCAGTACCGTCGTTTGACATGTGGTTTTTGAGAAAAGCTGGATATCTTGGATTGATACACAAGTGCTGGTTGACCACTCTTAATTGGGGGGTCATATGATTCTGGTAAGCCTCCCTCTGTTGTACACCGAGGTGCTATGTTATATTATCATTAAAAAGTTTGGAGACACATCTGTCCTTTCTCTCATAATCAAAGAACCACTGAATTCACAGTTTTTGGCTTCACATTTGGATTCCTTTGTTTTATTTTTTCAATTTGTGGTGACACATAAGTTTAAAATATTTGCATTGCACATACATTTTAATTTATCCTAGCACTGCACTATTGTTCTGTGATGTTTATTACGCTATGTATTATGGTATTGTGCTAGCTGCTATGTTTTTTAACATCCAACAGAGCCCTAGCATGTTTTTTTTTTTTCATTCTTACAAAATGCATACTACTCTGGACCTAAAAAAAAAAAAAAATTCAAGTCGATTGGTCCCCTTGCTGCTGCCCAATCATTCAAAACTTGCCAATATATAACATATAAATACAGCTTGTATAACAGTGTAAATTTGCTGTCCCCTCAAAATAACTCAACACACAGTCAATAATGTCTAAGCCGCTGGCAACAAAAGTGAGTACACCCCTAAGTGAAAATGTCCATATTGGGCCCAATTAGCCATTTTCCCTAACCGGTGTCATGTGACTCATTATTGTTACAAGGTCTCAGGTGTGAATGGGGAGCAGGTGTGTTACATTTGGTGTTATCGCTTTCAGTCTCTCAGACTGATCACTGGAAGTTCAATATGGCACCTCATGGCAAAAAACTGAGGATCTGAAAACATTATTGTTGCTCTACAAAAAGATGGCCTAGGCTATAAGAAGATTGTCAGGACCCTGAAACTGAGCTGCAGCATGGTAGCCAAGACCATAGAGCGGTTTAACAGGACAGGTTCCACTTAGAACAGGTGTAGCCATGGTCGACCAAAGAAGTTGAGTGCACGTGCTCAGCGTTATATCCAGAGGTTGTCTTTGAGAAAAAGACATATGAGTGCTGCCAGCATTGCTGCAGAGGTTGAAGGGGTGGGGGGGTCAGCCTGTCAGTCCTCAGACCATACGCTGCACACTGCATCAAATTGGTCTGCATGGCTGTCGTCCCAGAAGGAAGCCTCTTCTAAAGATGATGCACATGAAAGCCAGCAAACAGTTTGCTGATGACAAGCAAACTAAGGACATGGATTACTGGAACCAAGTCCTGTGGTCTGATGAGACCAACAGAAACTTATTTGGTCCAGATGGTGTCAAGTGTGTGGCGGCAACCAGGTGAGGAGTACAAAGACAAGTGTGTCTTGCCTACAGTCAAGTATGGTGGTGGGAGTGTCATGGTCTGGGGCTGCTGGCACTGGGGAGCTACCATTCATTGAGGGTACCATGAATGCCAACATGTACTGTGACATACTGAAGCAGAGCATGATCCCCCCCTTTGGAGACTGGTCCGCAGGGCAGTATTCCAACATGATAACAACCCCAAACACACCTCCAAGATGACCACTGCCTTGCTAAAGAAGCTGAGGGTAAAGGTGATGGATTGGCCAAGCATGCCTGCAGACCTAAACCCTATTGAGCATCTGTGGGGCATCCTCAAACGGAAGGTGGAGGAGCGCAAGGTCTCTAACATCCATCAGCTCTGTGATGTTGTCATGGAGGAGTGGAAGAGGACTCCAGTGGCAACCTGTGACGCTCTGGTGAACTCCATGCCCTAGAGGGTTAATGCAGTGCTGGAAAATAATGGTGGCCACACAAAATATTGACATTTTGGGCCCAATTTGGACATTTTTACTTACGGATGTACTCACTTTTTAGACAGCGGTTTATAGAAATACATATGTGAAAAGTGTGGCGTGCATTTGTATTCAGCCTCCCTGAGTCAATACTTTGAAAAGCATTTATCATTTTCCTTCCACTTCACATATACAGTGGGGATTGAAAGTTTGGGCACTCCAGCTAAAAATTTGTATTAATGTGCATAAAGAAGCCAAGGAAAGATGGAAAAATCTCCAAAAGGCATCAAATTACAGATTAGACATTCTTATAATATGTCAACAAAAGTTAGATTTTTTTTCCATCATTTACACTTTCAAAATAACAGAAAACAAAAAAAATGGCGTCTGCAAAAGTTTGGGCACCCTGCAGAATTTTTAGCATGCACTGCCCCCTTTGCAAAGCTGAGACCTGCCAGTGTCATGGATTGTTCTCAATCATCGTCTGGGAAGACCAGGTTATGTCAATCTCAAAGGTTTTAAATGCCCAGACTCATCTGACCTTGCCCCAACAATCAGCACCATGGGTTCTTCTAAGCAGTTGTCTAGAAAACTGAAACTGAAAATAGTTGACGCTCACAAAGCTGGGGAAGGCTATAAGAAGATAGCAAAGCGTTTTCAGATGTCAATATCCTCTGTTCGGAATGTAATTAAGGAATGGCAGTCATCAGGAACAGTGGAAGTTAAAGCAAGATCTGGAAGACCAAGAAAAATATCAGACAGAACAGCTCGCAGGATTGTGAGAAAAACAATTCAAAACCCGTTTGACTGCACGATCCCTCCAGAAAGATCTGGCAGACACTGGAGTTGTGGTACTCTATTCCACTATAAAGAGATACTTGTACAAATATGGTCTTCATGGAAGAGTCATCAGAAGAAAACCTCTTCTACGTCCTCACCACAAAAATCATCGTTTGAACTTTGCAAATGAACATATAGACAAGCCTGATGCATTTTGGAAACAAGTTCTGTGGACCGATGAGGTTAAAATTGAACTTTTTGGCCGGAATGAGCAAAGGTACGCTTGAAGAAGAAGGGGCACAGAATTTAATGAAAAGAACCTCTGTCCAACTGTTAAGCATGGGGTTGGATCAATCATGCTTTGGGGTTGTGTTGCAGCCAGTGGCACAGGGAACATCTCACGAGTAGAAGGAAAAATGGATTCAATAAAATTTCAGCAAATTTTGGATGGTAACTTGATGCCATCTGTGAAAAAGCTGAAGTTAAAGAGAGGATGGCTTCTACAAATGGATAATGATCCTAAACACACCTCGAAATCCATGGGGGATTACATCAAGAGGTGTAAACTGAAGGTTTTGCCATGGCCTTCACAATCTCCTAACCTCAATATAATTGAAAATCTATGGATAGACCTTAAAAGAGCAGTGCGTGACAGACAGCCCAGAAATCTCAAAGAACTGGAAGACTTTTGTAAGGAAGAATGGGCAAAGATACCTCAAACAAGAACTGAAAGACTCTTGGCTGGCTACAAAAAGCGTTTACAAGCTGTGATACTTGCCAAAGGGGGCAGTACAAGATATTAACTCTGCAGGGTGCCCAAACTTTTGCAGACACCATTTTTTTGTTTTCTGTTATTTTGAAAGTGTAAATGATGGAAATAAAATCTAACTTTTGTTGACATATTATAAGAATGTCTAATCTGTAATTTGATGCCTTTTGGAGATTTTTCCATCTTTCCTTGGCTTCTTTATGCACATTAATACAAATTTTTAGCTGGGGTGCCCAAACTTTCGATCCCCACTGTATGTGCCATTTTGTGTTGGTCTATTACAAAAAATCCCCAAAAAATTAATTTACATTTTTGGTTGTAGCATGACAAAATGTGGAAAATTTCAAGGGGTGTGAATACTTTTTCAAGGCACTGTATTAATCCAGTCTAACTGTAGTAGAAATCACAACATGTTTTCAAGATACTGGGCCCCTTGTTGCTTCCTAGAGCACCATCTGTTTTAAGCCACCAAAGCAACCATAAGTCATCAGGGTAGCAATGTTAGCACCACCAGGGTGGGGGTATGGTTTACATTAGGTAAGGCACTCACACTCAGCAGAAAAAAGAACAGCAATAGCTACTAGAAACAAGAGGTGGCCATTTTTTTTTACTTGGATGGGAAGTTTTTTCTTACACCGCTGTTGTAACTTTAGTAAATATTAGATCATCACAATATAACCTAAGAAGCAAAGTGGCATCCCCAAAAGACTAGGTTGGTTCATAGCAGAGGAGAAAGAGAAGTCACTGTGTAACCACTGGTCACAAAAATGCAACAAGATGACACAATGCTACATTTATACCATAATTAAATAAGTGCAATCCCCCCCCCCCTCAAAAAAAAATAAATAAAAAAATTAGAAGATAGGCTTAATTCCTAGCAGTAGCATAAAATATGCATGGCATGAGCAGTGCAAAGTCTTTTTTTTTTTTATAATCTCACATTTCCGGTTCCAGAAATACAGTAGTCCTCCCTTAAATTGCAGGACTGTCTCAGTCTGGTAAAATGTCCAGAGTTCACATTAAAAAATGCTTAAAATATTGCAAAAGTAATAAAACTAGTGAAGCAGAACGCTTGTTTCACTGTCCGATAGATCAAAGGCATTTGGATAGTCCTCGGCATGTTCATTTTCTTGAGGATCTATCTCCATCTGTTGGGAATGCTGTGATTCTTGGTCTTGCGTGAAAAGTTGCTCCTCCAGGAAGGCGCTTCCAAGTCCATACTGCTCTTCATGTGTACTTGCCTCTTCTAAGGAAACATGATTGGAGCCCAAGATAAACTGTGCAAACCTGCCAAACAGAAGCACATACACATTTTTAGGACGTATTCTGCAAGATCTGAGGAAACAAAAAGGGGGGGAGTTACCTCCTGCAACTTTTATTTCCTTTGTGATTCCATCTAGTAGAGATTACATGAGTGGACTTTTGTGAAAATTAATCCAACCTTTAATACTTAGTTGAGCACAGCACAGATAGATTTCACTTTCTGTGTATTGGCATATAAACAGGTCTACTCTAGATTTTTGGAAATACTAATAGCAGCAGGGAAAAGTCCAGATTACAGTAGTTGTCTCCACTTCTTTAGTAATCTATTTCTTGTGCTGCCATTAAGCTAGCATACATTTTCCTTCTCCCCCATAACAAATTGAAAGGTACAATCTAGAACATTGGTACAGTGTGAACAGGTAGGACAAGAAATACAATAAGATTCCATTTCACACCATGGTGCATCATGTTAATGCATGTACCACAAAAAGCATTACCCAAATTTTGGAAATTGCATTTTAGATATCTAAAAGAAAATCTTTCCTACAGAAGACTATGCCCACCACTTGCATATATACCGTTTGGGGTGACGAAAGTCTAGAAACCACAAGCCAAGAGTTGAAGTTAGGACTGTTGCAAAAATCACGAAGTTCCTCTAAAGCCTTTACAGTCTCTGTTTCAGCTTGTTCCCTGTATTCCTCTTCTGTGAGCAATTTTGCGACAGGCTTCTTACGTGTTATTAGTCTATCAAAGGAAGCAAGCATATAAGTTGAACTCCAGAAAAAAACCTTAAACCAGTTTCAAAGCCAAAAACAAAAATTTAAATACTTACCCGAGTCCTGTATCAATCCAGCGCTGTGCCCTTCTGCTCTCACAGACACAAAGGCAGCAGCGGGAGCCACTACTTGGCCGAGTCATGCTGTTTGTGTATACTGATGCACACAGCCTGCCTTAGTAGTGTACTTGCAAATGTGCCCCCCTAGCAAGCAGCTTGCTAGGGGGGCACATGGAGAAGAGGAGGACCAGAGAGCACTGGAGGGGGACCCCAGAAAAAAAGATAAGAGACCACTCTGTGCAATATCCTTCCACAGAGCAGGTACGTATAACATAATATAATACTTACTAAAGCCTTAGTTTTTTTCCTAAAAGGTTTATATCACTTTAATGAACACATAAGGAATATCAGGAGAGGGTTCAAGGGCCATAGAATGTCAAAAACATTATACTATGTACCATAATAAGGATCCAACAGGTACCCTCTTCATGGGTACTGACAAATACAGTCTGCACTGGAGGGGTAGCTACATAAAGAAGGAAATATCACATCTAGATAGATGAATCTATGAGTTGAGGATATTTGCTCCCTAAAGCCATAAGATTGAGTGGGATGTCAATTGTTTTATCAATAAAAATTGAATTGTCCCATTCTGTAGCCTACACGGATTTAAGTTCTTTCATTACCTCTGGGGGCAACAGTTCTTTCTTTTTTTTTTTTTGTCCATCCCTAGGTTGATGCTCTTTAAACATCTGGTTTGATGTATAAATCAATCCTGTATGGCTTTACTTTCCAGCTCTCTGGCTAACTTTTTTTTTTTTTACCTATTTATGGAATTTTATTATATTTTCTTATATTTTCCAGCCCTCTGGCTATTTTTTTTTGCCCATTACATTTTTTCCCATTTTTTTTCTACTTTACAATTTTTATGCATAGCTTTAGACATATAAAATACTTGTAGCCCTTTGATGGGACTTTCCATATGTGGCCTTTTTTATGTCCAGGTATACACATATTGCATAGATTACCATTTTTGACCATATATTTCCAACTTTCATAAATACAAGCTGCATAATGAACTTTGTGCTGTTTGTTTTATGTCATTACCTTTTGATTTTCTTTTTTGAGATCCTGATATTGTATGCATCATTCATGTGTGTATGTATATTGATGGGACTTTAGTTGTACATGTGCAATATGTGTTGTATGTTATGTATATGCAAGCATTACCCTTGATCGTACCAGCAACAAGTTGAATGAATGTGTCTTTTCTATTTCCCTTTTCTTTCTTCCTGTGGTCTACATTCCTGTGCGTTCCCCTGTACTGCAAGTTGACAGCCCATTTAATCAAATGGGCTGCAAATTGCACCAGACTGCACAAAAAATAGTGCATGCACTACTTTTGAAAAACGCACCACATCAAATCGCATGGTATTGCCGTTAACATTGTATTGGCGCTGGATCACAAAAGGCACCACGTTTATAGGTAGTGATTTTGTCTACAAAGTTTCCTTTGGGATCTGTATTTCTAACTTATTTTAATTTTTTTTATCTCGGATTTTGTAGATAATATTGGCAAGGATTTCTAACAATAGTAGGTATTTACACCTAACATCTTTTTTAAACTAGATGGCGCTGTCCTTCCCTGGGCATTGCCATAATATGATCCTTCTGTTTTGGCTCCAACTACTAGAGGGAGCTCTGCATAATTTCAAATCTTGTAAAGAGAGTCATTTTCATTCCTCTAGGTATATATAAAGTTCTGATGGCCGCAGGATGTCACGTATGATGAAATGAGTAGGATGGTGCTAGGACACACATGTGCCACCTTGGATACTTTACACTTTCATCTTTGCGCAATGTGAGTTTTCAACTTTTTTTTTTTTTAATAAAGATTTCTATGTGGTTTTACACTATTGGGAGTGCCTTTCCTTGTTTTTATTCTTACTTGTAATATATGCTATATTGGTCAACTTCTGGATAATACCTGGGATTGAACTGCGTTCCTGTCCTGGTTTCTGCGGATGTCTCTTGTCTAATGAAAAGTGCATCTGACCACTCAGTGACTGAGGATCACTGAGAGGTGATAATTAGCCTGTGTGAGCATATTGGTGGGGAGCACACCCATGTTTGCTACTGAATATCACTGCATTAGCACTTCGAAGATATCTTGAAGGACTTTAAGCAATTTGAATTTCACTTTGTATTTGGCCTTGTATGAGTGCTGCCACCTATTTTATTTGCACTAGCACTTTGATTGACTTTTATTTGAGTATTCTGCCATTCATTCAATAAAGATTTCCATTGGCGAGCAGCTGCTCACATTAATATACAGTTGTGTTCAAAATAATAGCAGTGTGCTGAAAAAAGTGAATAAAGCTCAAAATCCTTCTAATAGCTTTTATTTCCATACACACAAATGCATTGGGAACACTACACATTCTATTCCAAATCAAAACATGAAGAAAAATATATCAAATTTCTGTTGTTCCTCTAAAAAAATTGAAAAGTGAATATTAGACTGTTCAAAAAAATAGCAGTGTTTGTATTCTTCTTTACAAACTCAAACATTCACTATATAAACTGAAAAATGTTTGAAGATTTTGCTTTCCTTTGAATCACTTAATTAATATTTAGTTGTATAAGCACTGTTTCTGAGAACTGCTGTACATCTGTGTTGCATGGAGTCAACCAACTTCTGGCACCTGTGAACAGGTATTCCAGCCCAGGATGATTGGACTACATTCCACAGTTCTTCTCTATTTCTTGGTTTTGCCTCAGAAACTGCATTTTTTATGTCACCTCACAAGTTTTCTATTGGATTAAGATCCGGGGATTGGGCTGGCCACTCCATAACGTCAATCTTGTTGGTCTGGAACCAAGATGTTTTGCACGTTTACTGGTGTGTTTGGGGTCGTTGTCTTGTTGGAACACCCATTTCAAGGGCATTTCCTCTTCAGCATAAGGCAGCATGACCTCTTCAAGTATTCTGATGTATTCAAACTGATCCATGATCCCTGGTATGCGATAAATAGGCCCAACACCGTAGTATGAGAAACATCCCCATATCATGATGCTTACGCAACCATGCTTCACTGTCTTCACAGTGTACTGTGGCTTGAATTCAGTGTTTGGGGGTCATCTGACAAACTGTCTCCGGCCACTAGACCCAAAAAGAACAATCTTACTTTCATCAGTCCACAAAATGTTGCGCCATTTCTCTTTAGGCCAGTCAATGTGTTCTTTGGCAAATTGTAACCTCTTCAGCACGTCTTTTTTTCAACAGTGGGACTTTGCGGGGGCTTCTTGCAGATAGCTTGGCTTCACATAGATGTCTTCTAATTGTAACAGTACTCACAGGTAACTTTACACCTTCTTTGATCTTCCTGGAGCTGATTGTTCGCTAAGTCCTTGCCATTTTGGCTATTCTTCTATCCATTCGAATGGTAGTTTTTTGCTTTCTTCCACGTCTTTCAGGTCTTTCAGGTTTTGGTTGCCATTTTAAAGCATTTGCGATAATTTTAGCTGAGCAGCCTATCATTTTCTGCACTTCTTTATATGTTTTCCCCTCTCCAATCAACTTTTTAATCAAGGTACGCTGTTCTTCTGAACAATGTCTGGAACTACCCATTTTCCTCAGAATTTGAGAGAAATGCACTGTAACCAGCATGTACAACATTTGCTGCCCTCCTTCCTTAAAAAAGGGCAATAATTGCCACCTGTTTTTCAAAGAATGAATGACCACACTAATAGAACTCCACACTGCTATCATTTTGAACATGTCCCTTTCAATTAGTGATTCAATTACACAGAATCAGCAGCATGCATGCCATGACTGTTGGCTCTGTTGGATTTCTATTACTCTACTACACTGGTAGTAAATTATTTGCCATGTAGAAATATCATTTCTACCAAAAACAGTGACTGATCAGGTTAGTGATGTCTGACTGCTATTATTTTGAACACAACTGTATGTGTGTCCACATAGATACAAATATAAAATACAGTGGATATAAAAAGTCTACACAACTGTTAAAATGTCAGGTTTCTGTGATGTAAAAAAATGAGACAAAGATAAATGATTTTGAGGAGAGGAGTTGAGATCGATGCTATAACAACAGAAGGGGAGAACCGCGTGAGGATTTGTACAAACTATTGAAGGTGAGCAGCCATTCTGCACACAGGTGGAGCACAGTGTTTATGAGCACAGGTGGAGTGTATCTATGTGAATAAGTCATCTAAGGGATTGCACGGATTAAGAAGTTTATGTATAAGGATTGTGATTATAGTTTGCACATGGACATTTATTATCAGCAATGTAATGGAAAATAAGTGACTTGCACGGACAGCACTGGCATTTTGACATCAATTTCCATATATTAGAGACATTTTTTGTTTTGTTAGAATACTCATTCTATGCGCCTATGGATTATTGTTTGAGCACTTTTATAAATGTATTGATATTAACTTGTTTTTTTACATTTATCAAGCACAGTGGCTAAATGGTTAACACTTCCGCCTGGCAGTATTAGGGTCATCGGTTCAAATCAAAACCACGGCACCACCTGCCTGGAGTTTGCATGTTCTCCCTGTGCCTGTGTGGGTTTCCTATGGGTACTCTGGTGTTCTCCCACACTCCAAAGACATGCTGGTAGGCTAATTGGCTCCTGTCTAAATTGGCTCTAGTATAAATATGTATGAATGCGAGTTAGGGACCTTAAATTGTACTCCCCTTGAGGGTTAGGGACTGATGTGAATGTACAATATGTATATATACACACACATGTAAAGCACTGTGTAAATTGACAGCTCTATTTAAGCACCTGTAATAAATAAATAAGTGCTTACGGTATAGTTTTTATATATAATATTCATTATATGTATGGATAAACATGCTCTGGCTTTTCATGCCTGCCGCCTAAACTGATCTTTTTCCCTGCCACTGTATTAGTGGGATTCAAGACATCACAGAGGTCTCACATATGTGAGGGGCTCCAGAATCGGTTTTCTGAGTGGAGTAAACAAAGTTTTTGGCTTTCTCCAGGTTTTGTAATTCTCGAATTAGGGTCTGCAGACCAGAGGCTTCAGAGAGATTTGTGTAAAATAAATATATAAAAATAATGTTTTCATTTTCTTTCCACATTTTCAAAAAACTTGTGAAAAAAAATGACATGTTCAAAAGACTCATGATACCTAAAAGAATATACATTGGGGTGTTTGCTGTCCAAAATGGGGTTACTTTGTGGGTAATTCCATTGTTCTGGTGCAATATTCAAAAATGTGTAGTCAGGAAATTAGATGTGTAATTTATGCCCCTAAAACGCCTTAAGGTACTACTTGGATGTTGGGCCTCTGTATGTGGCTAGGCTGTGGAAAAGTCTCCCACGTGGTATCGGCATACTCAGGAGGAGTAGCAGAATGTATTTTGGGGTGTAATTGTAGGTATGCCTACACTGTGTGTGAGAAATAACTTTCTTCATCTTCCAAACAATTGTGGTAAAAAAAAAGTACAAATTCAAAAACTCACCTCGCCTCTTACTAAATACCTTGGACTGTCTACTTTCCAAAAAGGGGTCATTTTGGAGTATTTGTATGGTCCTAACATTTTAGGGCCTCAAGAAATGAGATAGGCAGTCAGTACCTCAGGATTGATCAATTATCATTGATACGTAGCATAGCTTGTAGACACTAGAACTTTCACATAAACCAATTAATATATACTTACTGGGATTTTTTTTTTTTTTACCAAAAGACATGTAGCAGAATATATTCTGGCCTGAATTTATGACAAAATTTTATTTTACTGGATATTTTTCGTATACCAGAAAGTAAAAAAAATATTTTTTTTTAAAAACATCACAAAAAAAAAAAAAAAAAAAATTGGGAATAAATACAATCAAAAGAAAGCTTTATTTTTGTAAAAAAAAAAAAAAAAAGATACAAATTTCATTTGGGTACAGTGTAGCATGACTGAGTAATTGTGATTCAAAATGTGAAAGCACTGAAAGCTGAAAATTGGTCTGGGCAGGAAGGGGGTAAAATGTCCCAGTCTGGAGGTGGTTAAAAAAAACTGAGGGTTTAACCACTTTAATACCGGGCACTTTTCCCCCTTCCTGCCCAGGCCAATTTTCAGGTTTCAGAGCTCTCACACTTTGAATGACAATTGCGTGGTCATACAACACTGTACCCAAACTAAAATTTTATCATTTTGTTCACACAACTAGAGCTTTCTTTTGGTGGTATTTAATCAACACTGGGGTTTTTATTTTTTGCTAAATTAACAAAAAAAGACAGAAAATTTAGTAAAAAAACCCTTTGTTTTCTTTGTTTCTGTTATAAAAGTTTGCAAACAAATAATTGTTCTTCATAATTTTAGGCCGAGATGTATTCTGCTACATGTCTTTGGTGAAAATAACCCAAATCAGTATTTATTACTTAGTCTGTAGGAAAATTATAGAGTTCACAAACTATGAGATATATATGAAAATTGATCAATCCTGAAGTACTGACGGCCAATCTAATTTCTTGAGGCCCAAAAATGTGAGAACAGTACAGATATCCCCCAAATGACCCCTTTTTGCAAAGTAGACAGTCTGACGTACTTCATAAGAGGCATGGCGAGTTTTTTGAAATTGTAATTTTTCTGTCATTTTTCGGAAAATTAAGAAACTAAAAAAATTATTTTCACTATTTTTTTTTTTACATATTGTCACCAGTGCAGTACAGCATCAGCATATAAATGGTGTGGCGGTGATCAGGGACACTGACTGGTGACAGTACGGAAAAAAAAAAAAAAATTAAATTTTTTTTTAATTTTAAAAAAAAACGTTTATTACATTTTTTCTATTTTTTTTAAGATTTGTGTTTTCATATTGCACTACAACCAAAGTAGTACCATAGTAAATAACATTGTACTACTTTGGGAAGTGATCAGTATTTTTTTTTTCACACAATTTGATTGATTATAGCAAAGAATTTCTTTGCTATAAGCAAGCATTTAACTGAATGAAATCGATTCATTCAAGTTTTTTTTTTTGTTGTGATTAGCTGTGATTTGCCACGGATAATCACATGAGACAGATGCGCTGTGATTGGCCCAGCCTGTGATCGCTGTGACCATTCACAGCTAGACACACTTGTATACAATGGATGGCATAAAAGGAAGCCATCCATTGTATACAACTGTCATGTGACCTGCTGTGGCGCCCTCCGGAGGGAAGAAGTGGTCAATATTACTTTAAGGTGCTGCATAATACATTTGGGCTATACAAATATAGGACTTAAAGTGGAACTTCACCCAATGATAGGGAAGTTCTGCTTTATTGTCCCCCCTACACACAGACACACACACACGGATAGGTACCTAGTTTTGACAGCTAGATACCCCAACCCCACACACTTCCTGGGCCACATCACGGGTAGATTCAGAAAGTTCAGTGTGACTCGTGCATGCGCTGTGAAGCCGAAAGGAGTCATAGTAGCTTTTCACAGTAAACATAGCGGCACCAGGCAACTGAATACTGCCGAAGAACTGGCCATGTGAGGACAGCACTGAATCCCTGGACAGGTGTCTTTTTCTTTTTTTTTTTTGTTTAAACTCAGCGGTTACAGTAGCAGCTGACTTTTTTTTTTTTAAACAGACTAAAGATCCTCTTTGAATACAACTGTGCTCCTCCACTTCAACAGGATTCTAACATATACTTCAACAACAGGATACTATATACATATATTCTGCTGGTATAAAAAAGCACCAACCTTTTCACATAATGAAGTACTTTAAAGGAATAGTAGAGACCCTTACAAGAAGCAAGCCCAGCTATGATTGTAAGGGCAATCTCAGAGACGGTGAGACCAAAGTAAATTAAGAAGCAGGCTATCATCTGCAGTGTCCAGGTGAATAAGGTGATACTCCGTTCACTGCTCAAGGGCCCATGTCTATAGCAGGATACAAAGCTCAGAAATCCAACTGTTATGAAATATCCTAGGAAAAACAGATGAGATAATATATTTTATACAGTAGTATAATAAACAATTATGCCAATATTACTTGTACAGTAAGTATAGTTTGATGGTATTGTATATTTGCTATTATTCATTTTATTGCACAATTGTTGTTTGAGCACGCAGAGTATATATATATTGGTTTCCCTATTTATGATTTAGTCACTGGGCAGGAGGGATATATTTGAAGTATACGCACATCTGTGGGGACCCTATATGTAGTAGTAGGGTGGTTTATTTATTTTTTCAGTAGAATCAGTGCAGCAACTTTTATGTTTGTATTTTAAAGTAGTAAACATCTGATATAGGATCAATGACAAGAGTCACTGTCAGCTGTACTTGCTGTGCCATTGCCATCTGTGTCTGTATGAATATACTAAAATTAACAGAATCTGCAAAGAACATTTCTGATACTTTCAGTGTGCATTCAGAAGCCTGTGCTGGGGTAATGCGTGTTATTGCAACACATAGTAAAACAAGTGTGCATTGAGCTGTATTGTCATTTATTCAATACATATTGTATGCACCTAAACAGCATATAAAAAGCACCTGCGCTATAGTACACCAAAATTCACAGATGCAGCTGCATTTTTGCTGACTAGAGGCACAAAGTGAATGAGCTGCCCTAACGCAACACGTCTCAGTGCATGAAAGCACAAGTGTTAACGCATGCAAAGATGTGAATGGGCCTTTAACCTGCAAAACTATTGCTCAAGAGGAGTCAGAAAATACGCACATTACAAAGTCATGCAGGGATTTTAGTATTTGTTCCTATGCTCAGCAGTACAGATTTTAACAATTCTAGCTTTCTTGCTTGTGTTGGCAACAAAATTGTCTTCCGAAAATATGTAAGCAATCTTACCCAGTACATAATGCTTGTTGTCTGTCCATATCCAATTAATGTTTTCTTTGAGGAAGTGCACAGAATACGCAGTTAAAAAGAGACATGTGCCCGCCAAAAGCCAAAATGTGCTGTGCTGCAAATACAGCATGAAAAGCGATTAGTACAGCTTATAGTCTTTCATTTAATTATCAAATTACTTACAAAGAGAAACTGCAAGAAGACCACAGTTTGAAACAACTGCTAACAGTTAGAGAGTGGTCCACTTTACACAGAGCAGACACACACATTGGCATGACAGGTTGGAAATAAACAGGATTAGGGCCTGTGTCCATGGCATCAGTATGAGGTCATTCAGAATTCACTGACAGGTGCATTTGAACGCCTTCTACGATGAACCTGACCTTTTTCAAACAGGTTTCGCATTTTCATAGACTTGTGTCTGATGTGAACCAGGGGCGGACTGACCATTTGGAAACTCGGGCACTGCCCGAGGGCCCAGGGTTAGTAGGGGGCCCCATGAGATGCCCCTTGAACCTTTTTCATAGGCTTTTTTTGAGTTTGGGCAAGGACACAGGGGTCCCATGATCCCCTATTGCCCGGGGGCCCCATGAGTTGTCAGTCCGCCCCTGATGTGAACAAAAGCCCGTCGGCGCCGGTTCTTAACATGATACATGTTTGTGTGCTGCAAAACAACTTCAAAAACTCACCATGCCTTTGCTTTACATACTTTGCTATATTTACAAGACTCAGATCATCGACATGAATACCTTTATAATATAGATTCTGTGTCATGGCCATACCACTGATTTACCAACAAACAAAACAAAAGTCAAAAGTCAATCATTTATAAAAGGAACAAAGAGATGCGCCTTATAGATGTTCTTAGTGCCCTCCACCAGCTTCAGGAGTCTAAAGCAGAGGTGGGCAACTGTGGGCCTCCAGCTGTTGTAGAACTACAACTCCCATGAGGCATTGCAAAACTGACAGTTACAAGCATGACTACCAAAGGCAGAGGCATGATGTAACTTGTAGTTCACCTACAGGTGGAGGGCCACAGTTGCCCACCCCCCGGTCTAAAGCATTATTGAATGAATGGTAGAGTACCAAAAAAATTAAAAGGTGTAGAACTCTAACATCTAACCTGTCAAACCAGCACTTTTCCAGAATGGGCTGCAAAATGCATAGCCCTGTGGAGTGGAAAGTGTAATGGAAAGTGGAAAGTCATATCCGCTCTCTACAATAAAACAACCCTTTAATTCAGATGAGTTTGATTGATCATTACTAGGTATCCCATAACCTGGAAATGAAAAACATACACCAATCAGCCATAATTATATCCACTGACAGGCACATTATCTTATTATAATGTCATCTGAAAGCAGACAGGATATATAAGGCAGCAAGAGAACATGTTGTCCTTGAAGTTGATGTATTGAAAATAGCGATGCACCCATATATTGCTGAAAATAAGGTTATCGGCATTTTTCTGATAGAAAAAAAAAAAAAAGTGCCGATAATGATAATGGACTTCAATGCAAACTCGCATCCCATTGACTGTAATGCACGAACACTCCCTATCGACTTCAATGCAAAATCGTGTCCCATTGACTTCAATGCAAAATCGCGTCCCATTGACTTCAATGTAAAAACACCTCTACTTTTTTTTTGTATTGTATATACATTTAATTTTATTTTCTACCCAATTTTTGTGTTATTTTCAGTAAAAGTTATTTTACGTTACTGGATTGTATTTTTAAATTCATATTTATTTAAATTCATTATATTAATTAAAAAGTCAAATACAATACAATATTTAAAAAATATATATTTTTTTTTTAAAAAACGGTCTATTTTGGTTTCAGTTTTTGGCCAAATGCATCCTGAATTTTCAGTTTCGGTCCAGAGTTTTTATTTTGGGGCACCACTAATTGAAAGCATACAAAATGGGCAAGTGCAAGGATTTGCTGGACTTTGACATGGGCCGAATTATAATGTCTAGATGACTGAGTCTGAGCATCTCCAAAACCGTGGCTCTTGAGGGATGTTCTCAGTCTGCAGTGGTCAGAACCTACCAAGTGAGTAGGAAAACCGGCACAAGGATATGGGCGGCCAAGGCTCGTTGATACACGTGGGGAACAAAGGCTGGCACATACAGTCTGATCCAACAGAAGAGCAGCTGTAGCTCAAATTGCTTAAAAAGTAAATGCTGGTTCTGACAGAAAAGGTGTTAGAATGCACAGAGTAGGGCTTTACTAATCCCAGGCGCCAGGTCCCCATGGCGACTAGAAATTGTATCCTGGCACCTGGGTTCATGCATTTCACTTCCATAGAGTTCAATGGGAAACCACCTCCCATAGACATTCAATGAGAAAACTGTCAATAGCAATCCTATGTGAACAATTATCTACACATGCCACTCCACTCCATCACTTGTGAGTCTTGCATTCACCATTACAAACTCACACAGGAGCCTTTTTATAATGGGACTCAAAACACAATGCGTGCGAATCACATCTGTGTGGACCACCTCAATAGGAACACAAAATATCTAGCCTGTCATGCGAATCTGTGAGTTTCAAAATGAACATTCACACCTGGGCATTTGGGATCACAGCAGAATCGCTGTGATCGCAAAATGCAGGTTCAGGTGCCAATTGCCATTGGCTCCTGCTGTTATCAATCAAATGCAAGGCTAAGTCCTGCTGGGTAAGTCTATGGAGCGCAGCTCCATAGACACACCGCTCAGTAGGGCGCAGACATTGTGTGCCTTCAGAGCAAATAGTATGGGGGACACTTGAAGAGGAGGAGCCAAGATTGTTGGGGGGGGGGGGGGGGGGGCGCATGAAAAAATAAGGATCAATGCGCAATACCATTACACAAAGCAGGTTAGTATAATTGTTTGTTATTTTAATTAAGACATGTTTTAGAGTTCAGCACCACTTTAAAGGATCTGCACCTGACAGCTTGATGCCTTCAAGGCACATACCTTCAGAGGTCTAGTGGAGCCCATGTCTAGAAGGGTTATGGTGGGTGGTCATAATGTTATGGCTGATCGGTGTATTTACAAGCTAGAGCCAATTAATCCTTGTCACCTTCAAAGATTTGTGATTTGTTTCCTTACAATTTGATTTTGCTAATGTATTATGAGGGATAACAGTTCTTCACCATGGACATTTTCAAGTTTCCCCCGCACTCCCAGCATGCAACAGAGGAATAACTGTATATTCTAATATAATGGATACCCTTTTATTACTTTTGACCAGGATCAACATTAAAGTAGGGCCCCACTGAAATAACTTGGTAGCCAAGAAAAAGTTGCAAATAAAAAAAGGTATCTCAGTGCATTTAGCAGTTTGTCTGAAGTTCCACCATAAGAATCCAATACTGAAAATGGGACACTCTTAGGGGAAATTTAGACTTGCGTCTAAATCCACTGGTCCTCTGAAGTTCTATCTGCATTTGGAACAATTTTCAGAGATGATGGACAGGCAGTGAGGAGGTAATGTGACACCTCATTGCTTATTTTGACCCCATTTTTATCGATAAACACTCCAGAACCACCTGCGATGCTTCCGTTCACCTAAATGGGTCACGTACATGTCGGCTGTTTTTGCTACTGTTGCATGTAAGCTATCTATCTGCTGCCTATTGCAACTTAAAGTGTTACTAAACCCACAACAGGGAAATCACTCTGTATATGCAGTAAAGCATGCTGGTTATACTCACTGTGGAACCTAAAGGGTTAATCCTGTGCATTGTGTAAAAATGCTGTGTGATTCTGACTCACCCTCCTCTTCTTCCAGTGTCTCCCTCTTATCTCTTGATAAGACATATCGTGTGGAGACACTGCACATGCTCAGTTTGGTATGTATTGCTAGATATTTTTTTTCTTGGGAGTGTGCATGTGATCAGCACATGGCCAATCAGCACTGCCCAGACAGAGGTCAGAGGTTCTACATCGTCCTAGAGAAAACTCCTCCTACAAGCTTTAATCAGTGCTTTGCTGACCACTGATAGAAGTCACAAGACTGCTCTAATTGCTGATGAGAAAAGGTATTTAGCAGTTTATATTTACTAAAATAACTGCATTTCCTTGTTCTGTGTACTGTGGGAGACCAGATATAGTGAATGCAGGGTCCTGGGTTTAGTAACACTTTAGGGTGGGTGGTCATCAAAAGCACAGCTCAACTGCATATTTTTATTGCCTGCCCTTCCCCCCCCAAGACTGCACATCTAAATGAGGCTTTATGAAGACCAAGGTGGGTGAAGCAAGCTGGAGAAATCCATGGGTTACTTAAAGTCGTCAACCCACTGCCATTGACCCCGGAACTCATTTTAAATGTATTAGCAATACACAGCTACTTAACAGCAGCCTCTATGTGCAATTTTTTAACTTTAGTCCCAGTCAACTAAACGGCAGGTGACATTTCATGAATGTGTTGGAGCTGCAGTGATATGAAACCCACTGTCTTCCCACTGATACTCTCCCCTTTCCCCAACACTGTAGTGGCAAAAGCAGAAAAATGAACCATTATTAGATAAAAACAGCAGTTCACACAATTGCCTGATAATTTCTACTTACTCTAAAGAAATATATCTAATCAAAGAATCCAAAGACTTAACAGTATAGATGAGGATGAACGCGTCTCAAACTGATCCCCAGGAGTTAGAGAGGAACAGGATGTAGTGGGATGGCCTCAGCCGTCACTCTGGTCACGCCCTCTGATACATTTTGCCCCACCCATAGGGGGCTTGGTCACAGAGGCTTGGTGAACGAACAGCACAAGAGCTATATGCAGCATCATTGGCCGTGAAAACAGGTGTATGTGCAGGATAGTGAAGAAATCTTGAACAAGTGTATGTTTGACATAAGAAAAAATATGTTTTTGACATAAAAAAGAGGGGGGGAATGAAATCACTGGATTACAAAACGAACAAAAAAAAAGGAGAGAAAAAAAAAAGAAAATAAAAATAAGAATAAAAAATGAAAAAAGAGAGAAAAATCAGAACAGAAAAAGATGAAAAAACGAATGAAAATAAAACTTAAAATAAAAAATGGAAAAATAAAATGAAATCGAATTGGAAGGAAGCCAAAGAAGACATATATATTTTTAGAAAACAAAAAATAGAAAGGGTGTATATATGTGA